AACCAAACACATGGCGATGACGTCAGGATCCTCGGTGTTTGTTTTGACGGCCAACATCCCGGCGGCCGGTGGCGCTTCGTCGTCTCGGAACTCCGTGTCTTTTTTACCGATGAGAAGCGGCGGTTCTAGGCTCGTAGTCAGAGCAGCCGAGGAGCCAGCTCCGGCTACATCTTCGTCGGAAGGTTCACCGGCAACTGCCGTAGCTCCGGCTGAAGCTGCTGCCACCAAAACCAAACCGCCTCCGATTGGCCCTAAGAGAGGCTCCAAGGTCAGCTAATCTAAAACCAATTCTTGTACTATATATACTAACATACGCATACACACAAGTCACATATCGATCGATGGATTCGTATGTCTATGCTCCAACTTTGTTTTGATTTTAACATTCGTAGAATGGTGAAATAATAAAATGATCATATGAATCATAGTATTACTTCTCTATGTTTCATTTAATTTCCGATGTAGAATTCGTAACAATTTCCATCAGTTAGTAAATGATTTTTTATTTTGTAGAAATTGGGTATTTTTTTGGTTATTTTGAAGTTACGGGTTAAATGTGATATTTATATCATTGTTGGGGTTCGTAGGTCAAGATTCTAAGGAGAGAATCTTACTGGTTCAAGAACGTTGGATCAGTTGTGGCCGTTGATCAGGTAACGCATTTAGTCTCTAATTCTCAATCTAACGATCATATTTCATTATCTAATTTTTATTTTCCCGGTTAATAAAATGTGCAGGACCCGAAGACCCGGTACCCGGTTGTGGTTCGGTTCGCGAAAGTGAATTACGCCAACATATCGACCAACAACTATGCATTGGACGAGATTGAAGAAGTCAAAGCTTGAAAGAGAGGAGAGAACTAAAAAATTGTGTAATTTGGATTCATGTTTATACCGGTCTTTCTGTTTGTAACTTGAACCCGAACCCTATGTACCGCAAAGTTTGCCAATTATTTCTCTCATCTGAATCTAGCTAGAATCGGTTTTCTACTCATCTTTTAGCAAACCGCGATTGGATATATCATCACTAATTGAGTTTGGTTGATTATATACTCATGGTTAACTCTTAACCATACCGCTTCATAAACGTATTCAAACCGGTATAATTTTGCTTGGTTAAGTACCTATATACTAAGTCCGGTCTAACTTAGTCACCGCTCGGTTATGTCACAAAAGTGGAACAATAAATTTTGAAGTAAAAAATGTTTTCATAGGACATTTGATTTCCCTTGTATCTAAAAAACTTATATTATGTCCCTAATTTTGAAAGTATTTACACTCTACCATCCATACCGTCAAGAAGACCGGTCCAGATTCCCTTAACCGGAGGTAGCTGTGCAACGAAAGCTTGCCATGGAGGATAACCCACTCCACTTCCTCTTACACGCCCGTCCAAACGCAGAGACAAATACCTAAACATCAACAACAATTCAGCATCACCCGATCGCACGAATGTGGTTTCAATCGTGGATCTTTACGCAAAACCACTCATATTCAGCTCAAGAATAGATTCTAAACCGGTTTCAAATCAAGTGCAAAGAACTACTTACACTGGAGAGTCTGAAGATACACCAGCAAGCTTCTTCTGCTCATCTAACCACCTGTTCATCATACAAAAACAGAGTTCAAGAACACCGTAAGTTCGATTCTTCAACTCTCTATGACTCTATCTATACAAAAGATTCTTACTTGTCCCATTCAGAGACGAAAACCGGAGCCACACGCCACAATCTCCTCCTTCTCTGGCTCATTTCTTCATCCGCAATGTCAGTCTCATCAAACTCCAAAACCGGCGACTTCCCATCCGTAGCATAAGCCACCACAACCACACCTCTCTCAACAAGCCCTTGTGTAAACTCTCTACTTCTCTTAAACGCTTCTTCGATATACTCAGCAGGACCAGCACAGATCACAAGCCTAGCAACCCCTCTCAAATCTCCCACCGAGATAACCTTATTGTTCTCTTCGACCCTCATTTTGAGTTTGGCAAGATTCTCTTCCCTCGAAAGCCTAGCCATTTGCGCATTCTTGGTCTTGTTTTCGCGGAAGTAAAGGAACGCAAAGAGAGAAGCTGCACCAACGTCAATCCCTAAACCCTTAAGGATCTCAAGAACTTCCCCTGATCTTGCCGGATTCGCCAAGGCACCGATAAGCCTGGAAGTGGCTATTAGACCTCCTAGTGAAGCGCTCGCAATAAAGGCGAGGTAGAAGAACATACGGACTGACCTGAATGGAGTCAGAACCTCACTACGGATTCTAGCATCAGCACTGAAACCATTAAACAGAGAGAACGCAACTATGTCACTACACAACTAAAGGGCTTAATGGAGGATAGTTATCTTTCAAAGTTTCAACCTTTCATCATCTCATTGAGCACTAAATTGATTCAGTAACAACTTAGAACCCAAACCCATTATTCATCAATATACAAAGATTGTACCTGATTTCCGATGAGGAAGACGAAGAGGGCTCGTCTGCAGCAGAACAAACGGTGCTGAACGATAAAGGTTGATGCTTTGTGGTTATCGTCAGAGGCCAAAATCTAGGGTTTTGAGGAGAAAAATCACGTCTTTCTCTGAGACTATGACGAGAAAATCTGCGAGCCTTATCAAGAGCTCGTTTCCTCGTATAACAATGGTAGATGTAAGTCTGAGACGAGACCAGAGTAGCCATTTGGTCTCTCCAGATTCTCTGCAAATTCTCCACTACTACTACTTTCATTGTGGATCATG